AAGGTTATAATGAACCTCCCCAGCCATGAAACTGAAAAGAAATCTCACATACCGGACTTGTTTGGCTGCTTCAAGTATACAAGGCACAATCTTAAAATCTGGAAGTTCTTCAGGGGAATCATCTACAGATGGTCCCACAGACTGGCAAGTGCCATTTTTAATCCAGTTTAACATCAGCTCTTCATCGAGATCGAAGAGTTTGTCCACCACTTCACCCACTTTTACCAACAAGTCAACTGCACAAGAGAGAATGTAAAAATTTCAACAAGACTGAAAACGAAGGGCAAAAATCAGCTCACAAAACATTAATATATACATGTATTCAGAGTAAATTCAGTGCAGAAATATATTAATTTTCTTCATGACCTACTATGGGTTGCTATGTTTAATTCCTTTATGTGGCACAAACCAAGTGAAGAGTTTGATAAATAGGAATTGTTGGAAAGCCCACTGACATCTCCAACCTTGTCTTGCCACATGTGAAGCAAGAACTTTATTCTGCAAAAAGACTTCACATTCCTGAAAAGTCCTAACTTCTGCTTCTGAAGAAAAACTTTCCAAGATTTGTCCCTAGATATGCAGTTTGATGGCAGTCTTCCACCTGCCAATCTGCATTTTACTTAGGCAGATCTGTGATTTCAGTTGGATGAGCAGGATTTCGGAGCTTTGCCATTAATAATAATAATAAAAAAACCTGAAAAAGCTAAATTATTAGGACTCTTTGACAAATCATAACTGCTGTTATAATTGAGTTGGATATGAAACATAAATGCTATTCAAAGTATTTGCATTTTTAGGAGCTTGGTGTGGTTTTTAATAAATTAGTTCTAAGAGAGATTTGCATACTACTGACTGTATACCCAAAGCCTGTGCAGTATTCAGCTGCCACTCAGAGTAACTGAATCACTCCTCCAGTCACCATTCCACAAGTATGGCAGCTTTAAAAACGGTAAATACATATATCTGATTTGAAAAAAACTCATTAAATGAGCTCTTGTTTTAAGGTTCAAAAATTACACATGTATATCCCTGAACAAAGACCATGTCCTTTCCTTTCTTGTGGAAAATAACAATTTCTTCTGTTACACTTCTTTTGATTCCCCGCAGAGCTTTCTTATTCCTCTATGCCTGCTTTTTTGATTGGTTGTATATATCTTTATAAACCTGCAAAGGCAGGATGAGTTTGTTTTGGTGTCCTTTAAATTTATGAGGTTCCCTTTATTTTCAAGAAATTCTCCCAACTGAAAATACTTGTCTTTGAAACTGCAAACTTCAGTTCTTATTTTTTCTTCTGCAAAAACCCACTAATTCCCAACTTGTTTTGGCAACTTACCATTTGTAGAGCTGGACATGATAAAGCAAACACAGTCATACACGGAAGGGTTTTCTCGGATTCTCTCAACCCAGATATTGGCCACCTCAGGCTGAGACAGGCAAGTTAACAACAGCCTAGACAAGAATTCCCCATTTAATAAATTAGAAGCCAATTCAGTTCATTTCAGCTGTACAAGTGTAAATCCAAAATAATGAGAATGATGTGATAGAAACAGGAATCTACCTCACAGCAACTGATTCCAGGACAATGCAGAAACAATAAAAGATGAGGGGATGAGAGGATAATAAAACAGTGAGCCCATTTATCAGTTTTCTTTCCAGACCTCAGAACATAGCAGAACTACACTAACGATGCATTAATTTCTGAGATGTCCTACCTGCTTGTTTCCAGAAGAGTTGGGGAGTCTGAATCACACAAACGCTGCAAGAGCACTTGGCTTTAAGGAGAAAATGCAAGGGAAAAAAGTTAACAAAATCTATCCTTGTTTAAAAAAACAGGTATAAAAAGGTAATTTCAAAGCTGCAGCCATGTTCTGAGATTAAAACCAGCTTTTTCTAACTATGCATGCATTTTAACTGTTTCAAGATTGCCAAACTTAGAAATCAAAGATTCAAGAACTTCGCCGGTGATTAAAAAAAGAAATAAAACAATGGTCTGTATTCCTTTTTCCTTCACTGAACACTTCCCACACAAAAAAGGTCAGCCAAAACGGTGTGAAATGAAGATGAGGCATGGCAGGCAAATTTAGATCCTTTTATAACATGTACTTCATGATTGTGAGTCCAGAAAAGCAGTACTCGTGCATGTATGAAGCACATATACACTTACCCAAGATTCTCATCTTTACTAATGGACATGCATATGTCCTGGAAACAGGCCATATTTCCTAATATTCCCACGCAAATTTCCTGAAAAGTCAAAACACAGTATGATGAGGCAACTGCAATGTAGTCCAGGATTTCACTTCCAGTGCAGTAAGACAAAAGTAAGAGAGGTTCAAACACAGCAGGAGCACCCATTGGATAACATGTTTCAGAAAGGGAAAAAGCTGCTGCATGACAGCAACTGCAGCTGAAGGGAGGAATGAGAATATGGGAGAGAAACAGCCCTGCAGGCACCAAGGTCAGTGCAGAAGGAGGGGAAGGAGATGCTCCAGGTGCCGGAGCAGAGATTCCCCTGCAGCCCGTGGTACAGACCATGGTGAGGCAGCTGTGCCTCTGCAGCCCACGGAGGTCTGTGGGGATGCAGAGATCCACCTGCAGCCTGTGGAGGACCCCACACTGGAGCAGGTGGATGCCTGAAGGAAGGCTGTGAGCCCATAGGAAGCCTGTGCTGGAGCAGGATCCTGACAGGACCTGTGGACCCAAGGAGAGAAGGGCCCATGCTGGATCAGGTTTGCTGGCAGGACTTGTGACCCTGTGGGGGACCCACACTGGAGCACTCTGGGAAGAAATGTAGCCTCTAGGAATGACTGATGTTGGAGAAGTTCATGGGAGAACTGTCTCCTATGGGAGGGACCCCATGCTGGAGCAGGGTAAGAAAATGAGGAGTCTTCCCTCTAAAGAGTAAGGAGCAGCAGACACAACGTGTGATGAACTGACCACAACTCCCAATCCCTATTTCCCTGTGCTACTCAGGGGAAGAGGGAGAGAATCAGGAACGAAGTCGAGCCTTGGGAGAAGGGAGGGGTGAGGGAAAGGTGTTTTTGAAATTTGATTTTATTTCTCATTATCCTGCGCTGATTTGATTGGTAATAAATTAAATTATTTCCTCGAGTCTGTTTTGCCTGTGAGAGTAACTGGTGAGTGATCTCTCCCATTCTTATCACAACCCATGAACCTTTTGTTATATTTTCTCTTCTCTGTCCAGTTAAGGAGGGGGAGTGACAGAGCAGCTTTAGTGGGCACCTGATGTCCAGCCAGGGTCATCCTGCCACACTTTTGCAGGTCTGACTAAACAAGTTTATGACCATTTCTGTTCACTAATCATAAAACAAGTAATGAGAAAAAAAGGCAGGCTACTGGTTTTTATAACAGGTCTTGTAACTAGGATTGATTAACTCACTCCCTCATCAGTCTACATGGGTGAGGATATGTGAGCAGACTTGTTTCAGCTTCAACATCACTGAAATACTTACTGATTACATTACTGATACCACATTAAAAACACTGCAAAAAAGCATTCTAAAATTTGATTTTGCGTTTTCTCGTGCTTCCCCTAATACATTCAAACACGCAGTGGAAGGAGAAGGAATATTAGAGTAAATGCACGTACAGAACTATCTACTATTGTTATTAACACACGACAGCTTTTTGACAGCCCATACTTACAGTAAGGCGAGGGCATTTTGATTTGGCAAAAACTCCCATGAATATATCAGGGGCGTTGAACTCCTGAAGAAATAAAGCAACATCCTGTGGAGAAAGTGAATGGAGAAGTAAATGGACCTCTACAATTTTCAAGAGCAAAATCAAACCCTTTCTCACAGCACAAGGACTGGATCAAAGAGATGACAAACTCGCTACAAAAGTTTTGTTATTTGCTAACAGTGAATACCAATAATTCTCGCTTTTCAATGAGACAAGATCAGGAACTCAAGCCCTTCTGGTGATTCAGGATGCCAATGATTTGCTGTACAATGAGACCAAAAGTCACATTGGCAAGGAAAGGTTCTTTTGTTCCTTATCCCAACAGAGGGTCAGAGACACTAAGTAAGAATCCAGTAAACACCACATTTTAAGACATGACATCACCCCAACTTATAAAAAGAAACAAGTGAAGGGGTTGCCATTAGCACCTGATCAGACCATACAAAAGAAATTTCCTTCTCATTTTACCACATTAAAACACAAGATGAGTTCTCTATTTGGGAGTTAAGGATACATATTCCATGTTTATTTAAAAAATCTCAACAAGCCAGCAAATAAAATAATTATATATATATATATATATATATATATATATATATATAAAACTTGAGAATTTCTTCCAGCATTTAAGAATGTTGAGAACAATATCAAAAAGCTATGTTACGTTGCCACTGCAAGTCTGTAGCCAAACTTTGAAAGGCTGTTTATCTACCAGAGAAAACTATGCTTTACCAGCAGGGCGCACTACAATTGCTAGAGGGAAATAAGCCTATTTCGAGAGCTGACCGAGCCCGGATGACTCTGTGCCTTCTGCCACGTCCAGGAGGATTCTGCGGGGCAGAACATCGCTCCTACCTCGTCCATCGACATGTCCCACACCTTGCAGATGTCATTCTCCATCTCCTCGTCCAGCTCCGTCCGGGCTCCCTCGGGGCTGGCGGCAGGATCCGGCTCCGCGGGGGCGATGACCTGGGACACGTCGGGGTGTGGGGGTGAGGGGTACACGACCCGGGTTAACCTCCCGCACCGCTCGGAAGCCGCTGTGTCCCCGGGTGTCCCCAGGGTGTGTCTCCGGGTGTGACCCCGGGTGTCCCCCCGGCCCCGGGAACGATCGCGCCGCACCCGCCCGGCGCTGACCGGCACCGGCCCGCCGGCCCCCTCCCTCCCGGCGCCGCCGCACCTCGATGAGGCGGGTGAGGACGCTGAAGAGCCAGTGCTTGCTGTACACCGTGTTCCCCACCGCGTCCCCCTCCTCCTCCTCCGCATCGCTGCACGGCGGCGACGGGTTGCGGTCCATGGCGGCCCCACAGCCGCGCGGGCACGACGAGGCGGCGGCGCGGCCGGAGCGGCGCCCGCGGCCCCACAGCGCCCCCTGGGCACCGGCGGCCGCTGCCGCCCCAGCGGCCGTGCCAAGGCCGTGCCGGGATGGCGCCGGGATCGCACCGACAGCGTTCCGGGACCCGCCCGCCCAAGGCCCCCACCCCTTGGCAGCCCCCGTGATGCCCCGACACCGCCCCGCTGCCCCCGCCCCAGCGCCGTCCCCCAGTGCCGCGGCCCAGGAGGATGGATGCTCGCAGACGAGGGGACAGTTTTCAGGAGGATTTCTTTATTCGGCTGTACGAAGGCTAAAAAAGACTTTTTAGTCACCAGCGCGCTTGTAGCAAATGTGGGTAGAGCCCTTCCCAAATCTTCGTTCGCGAAGCCTAGCCATGATGACGATGATGTACAAAGGCAAAGGGAGGTGTGAGAGGAGCAGAGGGGACAGCCCTAGTACTTGCTGGGCAGCCCCTTGGGGCGGTAGCGGTTCGGGTCCCCGCCGCTCCGCCCCCACCTGTTCGCCTCCTGGTCCGCCCGGGTGTCCTCGGCGCCTCTGCCGCTCACTCTGCTCTGCCATCCCTCCCGGGCGTCACTGCGGGGAAGGAGGAAAGTCACCTGAACCGACCGCATGAGCTCAGCCTCGTGTGGATCTCCTCGCTCACGTAAAGCAAGCACACTTTTCCTCAGTGCTTCTCAAGGTGAGATGCAAGCACATACTGATCCTTGTCTGAGAGCCCGCATGGAACCCATAACCGTTATGCCGGGAAACGAACCAGCAAGGAAAGAGAGTGTTTTATGACCAGAAATGCAGAGGAAGGAGTCTGCCTTCTCGGGAGGACAAGAAGAAAGGCCTCACACTCATGTGGGAGGAGAGCCACCATTCCTATAGAGACAGGCTGTTCAGGCAGGAACTGCATCCCCTCCCCTCTGCTGTCTTTCTAGGTGAAAAGCTGAGTACAAGTCAAAAAGGACTTCAACTGGGATGCCTGGATCCCTAGCAACTCACTGTTAACAAGCCAAGCACACTCTCTTACCTGATCACTCTTGCTGCCCAGGCACCACCAGGTCCTCTCCGGGCAGCGTCGTAATTCCCACGAGCATGGAAGTATTTGTCGGCACCTTTATAATTTGCCTCACGCATGTCCCGGTACGCTCTGTACATATCCCATGTTCCTGAAGAAAGTGGAGAAACAGAAATGATGTTGACTTGAAAAAGTCACACCATAAATAGTTCAGTACCATTTCAGCCAGGAGTTGAAAGGCCCAAGGAGCTGAAAGGCCAAAGGAGCAGTAACACAGAGAGGCACATCTCCACATCAGTCTTTGCACAGGGCTTTGCCCACAGAAAGCACCTGTGGGGGCTGATCAAGGCCCTCTGCCAGCAGCAGAAACTGGCTGTGGATCTCCCAGTTCCAGGGGCTGCATCCATTGGTAACCCTTGGGGAGGGGGTTCCTAAGAGGAGGGTCTATGGTAAGAGCAGCTTACCTCCCGCTGCACCCCGGACAAATTGTCCAGCTCTGCGCAGTCCAAATCTGTCAGCACTTACACACAGAACAACGGAGAGCAACATGAGGCAGACACAGAGCTTCATGGTTACTTGTCCAAGTCTGAGAGAGAGCTGTGAGACAGAGAGATGAACAGTTCTGGAGCACCTTTGAGAGACTGCTGACATAGCATCCACAACACCCACAGCTGTGCCAGGGCAGCTGCCCAGGGCCCCCTTCTACCCCTGCAAGGAGTGGTATCCTCTGTGAGACCACAAGCTCAGCTAAGGACTCCACAACAGAGGCAGATGCACATGAGAAACTTGCATTCTAGCATTCTCTGCTGCTCTTGTCAGAGAAGCCCCACATGCTAAAGCATTAGTCCTGTTCCTGAGTACCAGCTCCAAACACTGCATATAGTTCACAAATTCAGAATGTCACTTACCACTGCTGAAAGGCAAAGCCCAAGGAGGTGGAGATGGTCTCGTGCTCTCAGACTCAAAGAGGGTATTTATAAGCAATTCAAATCCTTCAAAAGAGGAAACTGTAAAGGATACCCATGGCTGGGAATTCCCCACTACTCCCCCACTTTAAACACAGAAATCATTATTGGAAACCTGCCCTTGTCCTTACTGAAAGTTCATAGCTCCTCTTACACAATTTTTTAGACAGTATGTGGTGCTTCTTCAGCTGTCCACGGGACTATTTGCTCCTCGTAACAAGCAGACTGAGAAACTGCCTTGAAGACTGAAGTGTTCTGTGTGCTTGAAATGTTACACTTGACTTAAAGGTGACACTTTTTTGGGCCCTTGTGCTGGACAGAGCTTGGAAGGGAAGGTGCTTGGTTGTCTGCATGAAGCACAAGGTCAGGTCTGTGTCTGTGCACAAGCAACAGTCTGCTGTGTTACCAGAAGGGCTGCAGGAACTGCTAAGTGAAAATCTCATGCATGCTGGGATGACCAGATGAATCCCAGAGTTGATGGAATGGAAAATGTGAAGTGTTGTTCTTAACTCCATTGCCAAGCAAACCACATACACCTGCGTCCCTGCTGATAATGCTCTAATATAGCACAGACACACGGACCATAAAGAGGCTCTGAATGGTTCATCCTGCCTTGGCTTTGCTTTCACAGATCCTTCCCAAGGGAATTCCAGCCATACTACTGTAACAGCAGCTCAGTGGGGCTTAGGTGGGCTTAAACTAAGCAGAGTTTTTGATGCAGCAGCAAACATTTTACCTAAGGGGAAGTTCAGATCCATACAGCAACAACTCTGCTAGATTTTAAAATTCATATATTAACTGTCAGGTCCTATTGACATGGTTCAGAGTTTGAGTACCCACTGTGCTCTCCCTGCTCAGGAGCCTGCTTGCTTCCCTTGGTTAACTAGCAGAAAGCTCCAGGTTTGAGTGCAGTTGCGCTGTAGAGAGAGGATGCAGAAAGTCTCCCCTTTGTGTGGTCTCACACATGATTTAACAGGTCTAAGAGAGCATTTTACATTCTCCTCAGAAGAGTTACAGGTAGTTGCCCAGTTCACAACTCTGTCACTTCAAACAATTTGCTGCTGGAGCTGCAGAGCAGAAGCATGAGGTAAAAGAGGTACAATAAAGCTAATAAAGTGCCGTCAGGCAACTTTCCTTGGGCATTGCTGGACTTCAGCCAAGAGTTCAGCTTAAGAGGATACATTTTGCACAGACTGGCCTGGAGCGGTAGAACAGATACTCTATAGTACTCTGTATCTCTGAATGGAACAATGGGCAATGAGAATCCAAAGTTCAACCCAATGGACAAGTGAACCTTGCAAAAAGCAGGGAGCAGACACATAATTTTGTCCCCTGCCACCCATGAGCCCAGTGCTTCCCTCTGTAACAACAGCTCAGTTACTGCAGGAACTATGTTTTGCTGCAACTCTGTTCACATCCTAGTCACAACTTATGTTGCAACCTATGTTCTTACAGTACAGGGTTGCTCAAATTTCTTCTCTACTGGCTGCAAGTGGCCCTGTCACCTTTTTGGTTTAAAAAAAAAAAACAAACAACAAAACCCCCTGGAAAATTACTCCCATAAGCTGGGGTACAGGCATGTCCCATTTTGCTCTGGGACCCAGAACAGAACATTACCTTCAAAACTGACTGATGGTATTTTTTCCTACAAGAGCTCAGGTGTTTTGGACTATAGAGGATATTTCTGAATCTTATGCCGTGTTTCACATTCTCTCCAAACAAACATTTTCTGCAGAGAGCAAAACATAAGCATAATTTCCAGATGGTAGGTTCTGGAGGGGATCTTTAGAAGATCTGGGAGTGTATCCCCTGGACTCCTCTCCAACAAGGACAGCAGTAGTGACAACAATGTGGGAGCTCCCTATGGTAACCAAGACAAAGCTCCAGCTTTGTGCTCCAGCGGGCAACAGCCTGAGTTCTGCTTTCCTGTATCCTCTTAGCGTGCACCCCAGGTCACAACCCCTAGCTCACAGAAACAAGCTGCAGCCAAAACTGCTGTTTGCGCAACAGAAACAGACAAAGCTGCCTCTGAGCACGGAGAAGGGTCTGAACAAAGTATTTCTGGCCCAGCAAGAAAACTCTGGCTGCGTGTGCACACTGGGGAAACAACATACTGAAGGGTGCCTGGAGACTGTTTCCCGAGTTTGTACACTCTGATGTAATTAAGATAAAAAGCAACCCCATACTGGTTGCCCTTTAATTCTAAATATCTATAAATGCAAGCTACATTCCACAAAGATTCCACAATTTTGCAATCTGAGAAAGTCAGATTGAGAAATCAGATAAGGTGAATTCCCAGCTCAGGCACAATCACAGACACAGTTATTCTGGGAAGGAACAGTACATTATTTTAGTTTACATGTGCAATGATTCACCTCAGGAGTTTTGCCATGCTCCTGTATAGAATATTTACTAGCATTGACCTCAGGTTTATAGACATGTAGAACAACTGCAAACTTGGCTCCTTTCAAGAAACAGATTGAAAATGCAGATATTTATCTGAAATAAAATTTATTTCCCCAGAGGCTTTGATGATGATTCTAATAGTGAAATAATGTTTGAGGAGGGCATGATGCTTTTTTCTGTCAAAAAAAGAAAACAAACACCACCACCACAGTTTCTATTTAAAGCTGCTCCAGGCAAAGCCCCCTTTATTCATCTCTGCTTTTTAAGGCCTTCTTCCACCATCAGTGACCCACAAAAGCCAAGGATGAGCTGCAGCTCATCTGCCCCAGCGCAGACTTGCTCAAGCCATCAGTGGTGCGTGCTCAGCTGTCTGACAGGAGCTGGTTTAGGGACCACAGCTTTAGGATGAGGGTCTTGCTCTATGCAGCTGCAACTTCTGAACAGAAGACCATTTTATATCACAGTCCCTTCACCTTACCCCTATGAGATGAAAAGAAACTCATCCAGAATAGGAAACAGTGATTTTTCCAACTCTTCTTCGGAGAGTAAACTCTTCCTCTTTATTGACAGCCAAGTTAGTTGAAATCATCAACACAAGCTCACTTTACACATGAAATTTGAACAAACACTTCCCATTATGTTACCTATATGAGCACTCTGACACAGAAAAAGGCTCTGACCAGAAAGTATTGATTTATTGTAAAAAAACCAGAAAACCCATACTCAAAGTTAACCAAGTGTATAAAACCCCAAAAGAAGCAAGCAAGAGACTGCTGTGTACACAAAATACAAGGAGCAAATGGAACCGTTACATATGGAGATAAGCCAGGTACATTCTCAGAAAGCCAGAAATTCCTCCAAGGCAGGCAACAGGAGCACTCAGCTACTGAACTGTGTTAAGTAAACAGGACAGGCACTGAGATAGCAGCACCT